ATCAATTTTTTTGTGTTAGGATTTTTTTTGCTTGCCTTTTTTAGTCTCGTTTGGTTTTTGTTTTTGAATTTTTTTGACTTTTGTAAGAAAAAAAATGAAAGGATTATGGATAAAAATTAATATTTTGTCCTATTGACTTTTGTAGTCAATTTTATCTTTTTGTGATTATTTAGCCCGAACATATATGCCAAACTGGGGCTAAGTTGTTTATTATTTTTCAATTTCTAATTCCCTTACAACAAAATGGAAGGACATTTCATTGACTCTATAAATTGGGAAATTATTCAATAATCCTTGAACACCACGTGGCTATATTCCAAGTTAATCACCAATTATTTAGTTCTATGTTGTTCCCCCATCTCCAACATAAATCGTGGGCTCCTACCCCTTTCTACCAATCAAAACCTTATGGAGTATCACGTGTTTATACTTCGGGAACACTGAATTATCACCCCTATAAATCAGAACTCGTTTGGCAACAGCTAAACGGGAGCTTTTTGGCTAAAATAGTCACAAAAAGACAAAATAGACTTTTTAGCCCAATAACACAAGATGTCACATTAAAATCATAATCATTTCATTTTTTTTCTCACAAAAGTCAAAAAACATATCCCAAACGATATTTTTTAACCGCAGGTTAAAAGGGTCTTTTAGGAAGTGGGTTATAATCCACTTCCTAGATTATAACCCACTTCTCTCTCTTACAAAAAGTTGATTATAATCAGTTTTTAATCAAAAAATTGATTATAACCATCTTTCCAAAATAGCTCAAAATAGCCAAAAACCCAACCCACATCCCAAACGAACCCTTAGTGAATTTTGGAATCCATGGAAATTACCATAAGGGCTTTTGTTTCTTTTAAACAAAGTAGTTTACAAGATAAGTGGTTTAAATTTATTTTACAAATCAAAGTAAATTCTTTCAATTATTTTTTCAAACCAAAGTAAATTGTTGAAAGGAAAATGATCTATAAATAGTATTTTTATAGAATAATGATGTGGCAATAAATTATTTGAATATATGAGTACAGTGTTTGGGGTTATCATTTGATTCAAAGTTTGGTCTAGTCCAAATAAGACTTGGGCCTAATGCTTGAAACTCATTCTGCTGGTTTACTTGTGCAATACGATCCACCCATCACTTCATTTTCGTGAGCTCGACAAGGGGCCCGTTTGGGAACAAATTAAAAAAAAATTAAAAGCCAATTTTTAATTTATTTTAGGTCACATCAATTCTCATATAAAAAATTTTAAAAATTTAAAAAGTCAAAAAATTAATTTTTAACTAACTTCCCAAATCACCCCAAAATATATATAAATTTTAAAAATTAAAAAAGAAAATAAAAACATATAGGAATGAGATGAGAGACAACTTACTAGTCCGCTCATGAGCTCGTTTGGCCACAGGCTTGGGTTTAAGATTTTTGGCCAACGAACCGATGTGTTAAAAAAATCAACCGAGCAAGTTTAAACATTATTGGAAGAGTTACGGGCCGGTTCTTTGGACCAGACTTAATTCCTAAGAAGTCTTGACCCAAAATAATTTAGTTCATCTTCTATTTTTACCCTTTACATTCAGTTTAGTGATTTTATCCTAAATCCAAACACATCTTCTCTCTCTCTCTCTCTCTCTCCTATTTCTGTCATTGGCACACCATCTCCTCTTCCTCCTCTACTATATATGTCACTCGGCTCAACCACCATCTCCTTTTCCCTTGTTGCCATCACCGTTGCTCCTCCCCCATCATTCATTTGCTAGCTTCAACACCGCAATCCTCCATCATCGATCTACTATCTTCGACATTGCCGTTGCCACCATCTTCCTCCATCACCGGTTTGGAATGCAAAGTATCCAATCAGTGCATTGAAAGGTGTTTTTGATCTTCTACAGATGTGACACTCCAAATATTTAATTAACACAACGCTATTCAAAAAATTAAAAAAAATAATAATAAATAAATAAAATAATAACAATAAGGGCAATAATAATAATGATAACAAGAAAATAAATAAATATATATATAATTACATAGCTATACGTGCTTAGATATAATCTAATTTGTTAAAAACGTGATTAATATATTCTTTAGGGGCCAAAAACCACGCAATTACGGAATTATGACCAAAAAAAGGGGGCAAAAAGGAGAATATAGTGAAAGGTGGCCAAGTTTGCCGGCAAATTAGGGAATTCACCTCCTCTCCAGCGCTTTACCGTTCGGCTTCCTCCAGCCATTCCATCAGATGGAGACGCGTGGCGACAACGAATCTGACGGACGAAAAGGGAGCCACGTTTGTGAAGCTCAAGAGACAAACAAAACGACGCCAAATTCTATCGTTTTGGCCAAATAGAGGTACGTAATGAAAAGTTTATTTTTTATTTTTTTATTATTTTGAATTACATATCCAGATTCAGATCCCTTCTCCCGTATTTTTCATAAATTCATAACCCAATCCCTTTTTCTTTCTCTCTCTTTCTCAGAACCCATTCCCCTATCTATGATTCAGTTTTTTTTTCCATTTATAATTGATCGACGGTGGAAGACTTTGACATCCTCGGACTCCATCGTTTGAAAATCTTTATTTACCCAAACAATTGTAGACACCAAAGGTCAGATTTGTAGTATTTTATTTTTCGTTTTCTTTTTTCTTTTGTTCAAATCTATTCCAAGTGTATGATGAAATGCCTCAATGAATCATGGGCTTGCAAACATGGGTGTAAATCATGGTGAAAATTTGGAAGTTAGATGCTCATTTATAAGTTAGATGCTCATTCATACATGTTTGCTAGTCTGTTTGAGAACCCACCTAAAATCTGGAAGCAATAGTTTTCATGCTCATTTATATATGCTCATTTATAAGAGCTATGTGATTATGAAACAAGCTGTTTGGTGGGTAGGCATTTCAATAAGTTTATTTATTTTTTATTTTTATAAACCCTCTCCATTTAATCCCCATGATAAAAACCTGTGTGATTATGAAAATAGACTTGTTGAAATGTGTTGTAATTTTGAAAAATGTTGTTTGAATTGAAAATATGTGATTCTCTCTATACTTACATTTTGCATTACAAGTGTATGATAAAATGCCTCAATGAAATACTTTGTGATTTTGAAAAATGAATTGTGTGTGATGAAATGCCTGTGGACTAGGAAACTTATTACTTATGGCTCTGTGAAATGCTTATGACTGAATATTAGAGTCCTCCATTTTCTATTTTCTTGGTTTCTTTTTCATTCTATAGGCAATTTGACATTATTAATAGAGAGAGATTCCCCATCATTTTTTTGCTTTTGGTGGTGAGTGACTGAAAAGACCATTTTTTACTCTTCTTTTTTTTTCTTTTTTTCTTTTTTTGAAAAGCTGGAGAGGCATGACTTTCGTAGTGAATTTCATAGTGACTGATTGGGAATTTGAATATATTCAGAAGCAGCATTTCTCAAAAGGAGATTATTGATTGAAGCTTTTGAATATATTTAGTATCCAATGTTGATGACTGTGTTAAGCATATGGGTTCTAAGCATCTTGGTATTGGGAACCATAAGGATCATGGCTAGTAGAAGCTTCAGAAGAGGCTGATCGATCTGAAGTATTGTCTTCATCTTGTGACTTGGCTCGGGCAAATAGTAATTTCACAATCTGGATGAGTTCTTCATTCCTTGTTTTTTTACTTGGACTTTGTTTTGGGCTTTGATTTGGATGACTTGAATTTGGGAGGCCCAGAGCTGACTGTTGGGCTTCCAAGTCTGACTGTTGTGAGAGAAAGTGGGCTTCCTTGAGTGACAGAAGCAGTTGGGTTAAGCTAAGAAGACTTGACCATTTGTAATAACCTGGCCTTTTTTTTTTTTTAATGCTTAAAATTCCCTCATTATATGTGTGTTTATGTGTTTGATGTGAAATTCCATGTTTGAATGTGTGAATATATGTTTATAAATTTGTATCTATCAATTATGAGAAAATTTGTTGAAATTGTAACTTTTGGACTAAAAATTTAAAGCTTTAGAGGCGCGATAACCAGAAATTGATTTTACAGTTATGATTATCATGATTTTTAGGACATAATATGAAATTTTGTAAAAATTTAATTCGTAATGAATTAATTGACTTTATTGGCTAAATTCTTATTTAAGCTCACTTAAATTGATGGCCTTAGAGACGTGATAATCAGAAATTGATTTTACAGTTATGATTATCATGATTTTTAGGACATAATATGAAATTTTGTAAAAATTTGATTCGTAATGAATTAATTAGCTTTATTAGCTAAATTCTTATTTAAGCTCACTTAAATTGAAGGCTTTAGAGGCACGACAACCAGAAATTGACTTTACAGTTATGATTATCATGATTTTTAGGACAAAATATGAAATTTTGTAAAAATTTGATTCGTAATAAAATAATTAGCTTTATTGGCTAAATTCTTATTTAAACTCACTGAGATGCCTGGGATGAAATTATACAGAAATCTGGAAGCCATATAAAAAACACATCAATACATTCACATTTCTTAAAATCTGTAAGTTATATGCTCCCCAACACATCAACATATCAATCTGAAATCTGTAAGTTAGATGCTCCTTTGGAAGCCATATAAACAACACATCAATACATCCCCATTTCTTAAAATCTGTAAGTTAGATGCTCCTTTGGAAGCCATATAAACAACACATCAATACATCCTTGTAAACAACACATCCCTGTAAACAATCCCTATAAACAGTCTCATACCCATCTCATCAAATATGCTTATCAAGAATAATATCTACAAAATCAACTCTTGCAAGATATTCTTCATTGTCCCAAAAATAAAATTCCATACCCAAAAAAAATCACTTCTACGATTCAATGGACCATATAGCAATAGAAATATTCACAATCCAAATTTAATGTTCACAATAAACATTCCCAAATTTAATGTTAACAAAAAACTTTCACTTGCAACAATCTTCATCGGTCTCCAAGAATTTCTGGATATATTGGTGTAGGGGAATTCCGAATAATGTTTAGATTGGGAACCTATGAAGTAAAAAAACATAATCAGAATGAGTTCAAAGCATAGAATTGAAGGATATCCACCATAATTCATGTTACATACCTGATTGTAATGTGTGCTAGTTGAGCATTGCGATGACATAAGCAAAGTAGATCCTTGAAGTAAGGCTCGAAAGTTGGCATATTGAGGCTCTCCATTCCATGTCCAAGACATTGAATTTGGTACTTTGGCTAATGGTTGCCTCATATGTGGGAGTATATTCGAAGATACATGTACATCCTAGAAATTGAAATTTCTTGAAAAGAACTCGAATAAATTTAAAAATGTAAAGATAAGAACACAAAAAAATAAGTATTACCTGCATTGAAGTTGGTACTTGAATATATGGTGGCATCATATGTGGGAGCATATTTGAAGATTTTAAAGAATGTAAAGATCATATTGAAAATTTTAGATGAAACCAAGTAGCATAAATTGAAAATTTTAAAGAATGTAAAGATCATAAAAAAAAAAACAAAAAAAAATTAAATAATACCTGAACGCGTTGCTTTTCTTTCTTGAAGTCTCCAATGCCTTTTCCAAGCTACTTTTAATCCGTCGCCTTCCACGAATGGGGTCAATCCTTTTCTTCAGTCCCTTCGCTTGAATGACATTTTCACTGCCCTCATTCATTCTCATTGTAGAGCTAGCATCATTTAAGTTTAGTGGTCCATTGGTGATACGTATACGCAACTTATTTTGAACAAATGCGAGCAATTTTTTCCCTTCCTGAACACAATCTTCATATGTTTCTTCCAATTCAGATGCCTGGGATGAAATCATAGTAAAGAGGGAGCACAATGACTTGTATCTGCTGCTCTGTTCCAACTTAGGGTCAGCTTGAATATCGCGCCCTTTGTAATCTTGGACAATTTCAGCTCTTGCTAATTTGGTCCACCTTTTCAGGATATATTGGCTTGGAATTTCCATTATAATCATTTCATCTTTAAGAACCTTAATAACATGACTACACAATATTCCTTTCATCTCAAACAACCTACAAGAACAAGACAAATTACCATCTTTGTCTTTCTTCACTTCACGCATTGTAGATTGTCGATATGCTTTGACAATACAAACCAAACAATCATCCTTGTGAACACAATTTGCTACGTATAACTCAAGTGAACCCACATATTCTTCTTGAAATTCTTCAAAGATAGTCTTTGTGTAAACATCTCTTGCCTGAATCAACATTAGAACTTGGACTTTTATCCTGGGCAACTTGTATGACAATGCATACTCAGTTTCATATTCCTTATATCGCTTCTCATTAGGCACCCTTTCGAAGTGAGTGAAAAATTGAATCAAATTGTAATTTAATCTCAAGTACTCTTTCAAATCAGCATTTAAGCTTTCACTAAGTTGTGTGTTCTTCATCCCTGCTGACCACATCCACCTAACATATGCCCTAACCCATTTTTTCCTTAAATGAAAAATGCTTTGCAGCCATAAATTATCATGAACATCAAACTCATCTAACATAGTATTCTAAGCTGCAAAAAATTCCTCTTCCTCCTCATACTCATCTATAAACTTTCCCAAAACACTTCTTACCCCACCAGGACCGCTAAAATGCCACTCATATGTTTTACAGCATTTTGCATCATATGCCATGTGCATAGCCTATGATATGTGTTAGGCATCACATATGAAATAGCCTTAACCATTGCTGCATCCTGATTTGTGAAAATAGTTTTTGGATGTTTATTTGACATTGCCTCTAAAAAAGTTTTAAACAACCATATAAACGAATTGGTTGTTTCATCATACATCAATGCAGCTCTAAAAACAATGGTCTCTCGGTGGTTATTTAAGCCAACGAAAATAGCAAAAGGTTAGCTCTCTCTATTAATCTTGTATGTTGTGTCAAATGTTACAACATTCCCAAATTGACCGTAGTCAATTATCATTCTAGCATCTGCCCAAAAAATATTTGTTATTTGCTCTTCAGTATCCAACTAAACAGAATGAAAGAATGAAGAATTTTGTACTGTCTGATCTTGAAAATACTTCAATATGCTCCCTACTTCACCGAATTCCAACACTCTTTGTCTTTTTGTTTTTAAATAATTCTCTTGATCTTTTTTTAAAAACCCAACACATTCCCTTCCACCTGCCTCTCTACCCATTAACTCATAGGATGACCTAAAAGGTATCCCACAGTCATCTGCCAAATCTATTTCAATATATTGAGAGGTGGAAATTTTTCTTTGAGAATGAAGCATATGAGCACATGTACTTACTATAAGGGGATGATTGTGTGTTTCTACAAAGTTGATAACTCTATACTTCCTAATTTGCCTGATTAATTTAATGCTCATCAAAGCATCACAACCGGTCCTTGTCTCCGCCCTAGGAATCCTTACAGCAAAATCTCTTTTATCAGATTTTCTAAGACCCTCTTTAGAACAAACAAATGTCCTTGAAGTAATTTCACCAGTCTTACTTTTGTGAGCATATTCTTTTCTAATACTAAATCCAACTCTTCCTTCATAAGAATTATAAAATTCATAAGCTAATTGTTCAGAGTCAAATTCCATACCTAAAATGGATTTACATTGTGTGTCATCCTCGCCATGAACATCTATTTGGGTAGCAATTGTTAAATCATCCATCTTCAATATATCCAATACCTAAAATGCAAAAAAGTAAACATGATATTTTATCTAAGAAATATGTGAAAGCAGTACATGGCTTAATGTTCTTAAATGATATTGAGGCTCTGTTTTACACATTAATGTTCTGTTTCATACTATCTACAAAATCAATTTTTTCTTTTTCTAAATATTTGATTTGTGGAAAAATGATTGTCTTCTCCTAAATCAATAGAAAAACTTTACAGAAGTGTCTAAAAGCCTAACCTTAATTGATATGACAAATCTATTTCTGCTTGAGAGTGAAAAAAATCTGTTCAGTGAAATATGAGCATCATATACGTACCAGATTTTAGGTGGGTTCTCTAAAATTACCAAATTTATGAGCATCATATATAAATGAGCATATATACATGAGTTCTCAAGCATACATACTATTGCTAATCTGTTCAATGAAATATGTGAAATATATAAATGAGCATGAAAACTATTGCTTCCAGATTTTAGGTGGGTTCTCAAACAGATTAGCAAACATATGTAAATGAGCATCTAACTTATAAATAAGCATATTGTAAAACATGTATAACGCAGCGGGTAAAAATTATCAGATCATACTTTAGGTGATAGAACCTGAAGCAAAGAATCTTGTGGGTAAATCGCGTGCTTTAAAAATGCGAACAACGAACACCCAGCAGTGGAGTGATACCACAATATGAGTATCACCCACACAAGTCACAATACAAAAAGCTCGATCGTTATTTTAATGGGAGAGAGTCAGTATGGGAAAAAACATACGTTATTTGATTCATCTCATATCCCATATATCGTATCAGATATATAGGCTCAGTATATCATCTATCCATATCAGTTGATATGATAGATATAAATATCATGAGTGGGTTATCCAAATAGGTTTTAAATTCAAATTCAAACTTACATGGATAAGGTTCAAAAGGGTCATGGATCATGCCACATGGGCGCCCAATTTTTAACGTCTCTAACTCGCACATGAGTTGGTATGACACTGCCACATCTCTATCTCAATTTCCTCCAAAAATGAACAATCTCATACTAGCCAATGCACCGTGCGACCGCTGAGAACACCTGTATGTGGGAGCTCTATACTAGAAACTCAAAAATGAGCCAGCATAGAGACAGCAACCCAAAAATAAAAATAATGTCTCATATACCCCATACCGATCTAATCACACTGGTCCAAAAAACATCTCTAATCCCTCAAAAGAGCATATTTGACATTCTCAATTCTTGCAATATATTCACAGTCAATCCGCCTCTCATACAAAGCAGTGTGAGTTGCCGGCAGTGAATATACAACAGTGGTGTAATACTAGATGTTCTTCCATTGGCCCTCATGCCATTTAGTTTAGGATTGACCGTTTTCCCAGTGATGTCCCTTAAAGCCGAATAATACATGACCGCAGGCAACATACAAAAGTAGCAGAACATCAACCCCTTACCTTATAACATAGTCAAAGGTCACAAAAGAGTACATAAATGAAAGTCATGTCAATAATGACATGTAAGACTCACACAGTGAGGAAACAAGGATCCATTTTCTCACCTCATTACTCAGTCGCTAAGTACATATAGTATGAATACATGTTACGATGGAGTAACTCTTCTAAAAGAGTGACGTCATACTCGATACACCGTACAGATCTTAGTCTAGTCGCTTTCTAGCGCCTAACTCGAATTCTCTATTTGCTCGCTTTCTAGGTGCCAAATAAGATCTTGCATCTGGCTAATCATAACAATCACAACATGGAAAGTAGGTACTAATATCCATGTTTGGTCCTTAACACAACCTCATCTTGGTTGTAACCAAGGCGACATACATAGTGGATAATTTAAGCCTTTCTTCGCTCCAAATAAAAATAAACCGCTAGTCTCATCCTTGCTCGCTCTCAAGCGCCAAGGATGATTGCTCGTGTGAGTGAGCCAATCTTGCTGCTGACATCATCATCTGCTAATCATTATGACACATACCATAATAGTGTCAACATCCCATAATCTCACAACAAATAAGTGATCGATTTTAAAAAACACGACCACAGTCTGCGCAATTCTAGATTCCAAACATAAGCTTTATCAGCACCTCTTGCGATAAGTATATACAACGGAATCCACCATGTGCGCCTTACACGAAGTGATTCAAGATCACTACCTTTTGCACAATAACCTCTCTAAGGATATTTTGGTGACCAATCTGTGTTCATTCAAGATGCGCCCAACTAGCGTATTGAATCTTACAAAGAGCAAATTAATATATTACTAGTAAAGCATTCTATCCACAGTCTAATGAGCAAGGTCAATGTTTAAACAACTCAGTTGACCATTTACCAAAGATAACACTTATCATGCCAAATACGCCCACATATTGTACTTCAGGCTCCCACAACAAAAAAAACAAAGAATATAGGTCATCTGTTTCTCCCAAAGACAATCTGAGGATTTACTCAATAGCTAAGGCTTTGGCTTTTACCGATAGGTAAGTTAATGGGTTTGTAATTTTGTATCAAGAATCATTTTAGGATATTCCTTATGTAAGTCATCAAAGACAAACCGGGAATTCACCTAAAACAATTCCTAAGGATCGTACATCCGAGCATATAAATTACATCACTCATGTCCATCATATCCAAAACAGAGGACCGCTCACCCTACGTGGCGACAACCTTATAAATTCCTGGCTCATAATGACTAAGTAAGGAAAAACTTCTTTTGGACCATTAATCATGCCTTAGTGATCTTCATCGATCATCGTTGGCCTATTATGGCTTGATGAAATCTAAGAACCACTATTTGGATAACTGTTTTAGGCTGTAAAAGATTTATTGGAACTAGCAACCTTTTTGTGCTCCTAACTTTTCACCATAAAAGCAGAAGGTAAATCCCTATGGATTTACTTATCCAATTCTCCAACGAGAAATTGGGTCACAACGTCCACAAATCATTATTCCGAACTTATGTTAATCATAGCCTAAGTCGAAATAACCTCACTCCCTAGGAGGAAGTCATCTTATGGTCTACACTTTTTTCAATGGTGCGACTTTTCGGTATCTAGCGAGCCTTATGCATCAACAATGACTATCCAAATTACGCATAACTTTAGAACAGTTTCGCGTCATAATAGAAAGTCAACCAAATTATAGAAATGGTTAATCCTTAAAGACTTTGTCTTAAACTACGCAGCGTTGATCCACTTTCTAAAAACAGGGGACTAGAGCCTTTGGCATTATCCTAAGCTCTTTATTATCTTGCGGAGCAATCATGAATGTTTCCCTCTCAATCACCCAGTGATGACGTGGAAAATTTTCACATTCGCTACCACGCAACAAAGAATGTACAGTATTCTTCTCTAATGGAGTAATCCACTAGTAGGCACATCGCTCCCACTGTCCCTAGGATATTGGAAATTTCTCTCCATTCTCAACTAGGCTACATAAAGCGCTTTGCTTAAAATTCTCTTATCTTATAGAGTTCCAAAACTCTATTCACATCACCTTTATTAAGAAAACTTTATGTGACTTAGTTACACTACCACAAAGCTGCTTACCTATATGCACATGACCCGGAGGGTTTACATGACAGCATACAATAATGCACCACATGACCCTATATGTTTACAAGACAGCATACAATAATACGCTATAGAACCCTAGGTCTTAACTTCGCAACCTTATGAGAAGTAAAATAAAGATAAGATGCTTAACGGTTACAGATTGCCCATAGATGGCTCTCCGCTAACCCATTACTAAAATGGAGTGTAAAATCTGATATGGAGGGCGTTTAGTCAGGGATATAGACAACAAACTAAAGTGTAATTCCTAATTGGGAAGCATTTTGCGCCATCATCCACCTAACATTAACAATACTTAATTCCTTGTCTCTACTACACTCTTGTGTTGCTGAGTACTAGGAATAATCAATTTTCTAAGCATCCATTTCTCTTCACAGAGCTTTCTCAAAAATAACTCAAATAGATACTCGCCACCTTGGTCAAAACTAAAAGCACAAAAACTCTTATCTAATTGATCTCGATCTCATTTGTGCAATGTCATAAATTATTTCAAAACTTTTTGACTTATGGGAGATCAAATAGTCTTGACTAAGATGCGTATCGTAATCTATAAATGTGTCGAGATTTGGGGCTAGCTATCATACCCTTACACATATCCAGTCGCAAATATCATAGTAGATTAAATGCGCCAATACAAATGCCCTTCTGCGGCTTTCCTACTTACTTTGTGCGCAACCATTGCGAACAAAGTTACACATTCACATGAGAGTAGAATGTCACAAGCTAGTGGGCCCGAGAGAGCCTACTCAAACCATTCATGTCATCTTCTCATTAATGTGATTAAGTATAATAAGCCACCGGTTCATGACCAATGTCATAAACTAATTCCAATCGTCCTAATGTGTAAGTTCTTGAAGACAAGCTTTAAAGGTTTAGGCCCAACTAAGTAATGACTCAAGACTAATTCATATTCACTAAATCATAAAAGGATGTCATGGAGATATCAAGTGCACCTAAGTCGCAAATTTAACTAGTAAGTGCTAATCCCCTGCACCTTTAAGTCAATTTTATTCTCCATATACTTTACTACATCTAGTTGAAAGATGACAATACTCCTCTTACCATCTCTGTTTCTCGTTTCATAGTTACTTGCAATTAATTCTACTATCCACAAGAAGGAGAGAATAAGCTATCAATCTATGACAGCTCCCGAAGTAACTTAAGTGCGAATTATGCTGAAGAGTCTAATTCAACACAATGCTCTCACGAGCCATGCGCCAAATTCTTAGAGTCATAACAACCTTGTCGGCCTTGACGTTTTCATTACTATGCTGCAACGTTTGCGCTTAGTAGTAAACGTTATTCAAAAACATTAGCCTAGCTAAGGAACCATACAAAGAAGCATCTCATCATGTCTCACACTTAACTGGGAAAACAGTAGTGTCCAGACTTAGACAAGTTGGCAATGCTAATAGATTTT